CAAAATCCCTAACTCTCCTCCTGTGGACTGGAAGCCCCTCTGCACATACAGAGGTCTTTGATAGTGGAGTCAGGAAGAGCAGGATTTTATATTCACTTCAGTCATCTCCTACTGCTGAGTATGAGCTTTCAAATCTGAAGAATGGGCACAAAACACCTGCAGAAAAATCCAGAGGAAGGGATGAGCATAAATTGCCACGACAATTCAATTTTTTCCTTTTTTCCTCAGGAGGTGGCCTGATTCTTTCATACATGTACATCTTGTGTAAAATATTGTTTAGCTTAAGGGCTGTTTTTTAATTTATCCTTTTCATGTGCCACTTCTGTATTAGGAGAACTTATGTTACTGAGAAATGCTACCTGAATTACAATTTTGAAATTGTTTCAAATGTTTTAACTTGTAAGGGTGAGTAATTATTTAAGGGTTAAAGTCACTATTATCTTTTTTCTGCATTAGGTAGCAAATAAATAATGCTAGATGTAACTTCACACCTATAGGTTAGCTATTATTAAATATTAGCTTTTGTGCTTTACACAACTGCTATCTTCATTATTTACCATTTGGTTCGATGCTATGTTTCTCCACTCTATAAAAAAACTATTATATTAAACTATTCTCCACTCTAATAAAACAATTATATTCCTCCTCACAAAGAAAATATTACTAACATTTTTTTCTTCCCTTAGCTCATAATTTACCATCAGTACAAACCAGTTTTAAGTCAAAAATCTCTAGATGTAATATTGTACTTTGGCCACTTGCTAGCTGTCCCCTGGCTAGATTTCATTCCCTCCCTGATCCTGTCTTCTTCCTTCTTCAACAATGCCAATGATACTCATCTAGAAAGGCAGTTGTTATACATTCTTTTTTGGTCATTGTCTACATGCTCAAAACATTTCTTTTTTCCTCTTTCATTAAAAAAAATTGTTCATGACCCATTAGATTCATAACCATTTCAAGGGCCTGATAGGCTTTTTGAAAAGCAGTGAGTTATGATCACATGCTTACCATGATGCTTGGTATATAATACAAGTATAACAATTGTTGATTACTATTATTATCATTGTGATTATTTTAGTCTCATTTTAGGATGCTTCGTGATAATGGAAAATAGAATCTTTCAAGTACTTCTAGGAACAAAACTCTCTTTGGATGGGGTCCAAAATAGACTCATCCTCATCATATGCTGAAATATGCACTAGAGGGGGTTGTGCTATAGCAAAGCTCTTGTGTGCTATTCATCACACAATGATGAATGAGCTGGAAGAGCACTAAGAAAATGTCGAGTCTTATTGCTACATTTTCCCTCCTGTATTTATGGTTTGTAAAATATTCCGTCTTTATTGTTCACCGATACAGTATAAAAGTGGTTTCTTGGATCCAGAACTTAACAGAGTAATGAGAAATAGTTGTGCGATGTGGAAAATTGGAAAGTGATTTCTAGGTTTATTTCAGATTTTATACTCTCAGCCACTGTATGACATGAAGATGACCTCAACAAGTGATTAGCCCACTTCTGAGGTTGTGATGTTCTGATGTTCCGATTAGCGCAGGAGATACTGTAGCAGCAGGGTACTGTGTGGTTACAAATTCTGCAAATGTACTCATACACGTTTATCTGGGTGCAGTCCCACTCTCACTTCTACTTGATGTGCAGAGAAAGTTACGTTCCTCTATTTGTTCTATCTCACCTTCCTTGAGAGCATCACTCTGAATAATTTTCAGGCTTTTTATATCAAAATAGCCCCTATGTCTTCATCTTGGATTCTTACTTCTTTCCCTAAGATGTTTTGGTTGTAGTAGGGATAGGAAGATATAGGACCTCATAATAGTAGCAAAATTGAGCTTATGTCATTGATTGTGCAATGTCTCATGTTAATTTCTGGATCCTTTATTCCCTGTACATTGGTGACAATCACTGCTGAGATCTTTAGTCAATTTACCCAACAGTGGAGTAAGATAATACTTCTTATGCTATTCTCTCAGGAAACAGTCATGTTCCTTAGCTGGGTGCTTCTTAAATGAGGTAAAATGACCAGACAGATGGGATAGCTGTCTCTTCAACTAAATTAAAAGTACAGTTTTTAAACTTTGTTCTTCTAATAAACCCTGCATGAAGAAAGTAAGATTAGCCAGGTTCTGGTGGCTCGCGCCTGTAACCCTAGCTATTCAGGAAGCTGAAGTCTGAGGATCCAGGTTCAAAGTAAATGTGGGCAGAAAAGTCCATAAGACTTTTTTATTAGCCAACAGAAAGGCAGAACTGGAGTTGTAGTTCAAGTGACAGAACACCATCCTTGAGCAAAAAAGCCAAATGATAGCTGGAGGCCCTTAGTTCAAGCCCCAGTGATGGTGTGGGCACACACACACACACACACACACACACACACACACACACACACACACACACACACACCAGCATCATCACCAGTTTATCAGGCAAGGGGAAAAGCAAGTTGATGATAATCACTGGTTAAATCTCAGAAATTTTAGATAAATCCAGAAGAGCTGGTATCTGTCACACCTACCTAACCTCAGCTCCTGTCATGAGAGAGGTTGGAGGGTAAACGTGGCTTGGAGACTTGCATCACTTCTCTTTCACCAAGAACAAGAAGGAGGAGGAGGAGGAGGAGGAGGAGGGGGAGGAGGGGGAAGAGGGGGAGGAGGGGAAGGAGGGGGGGAGCTAGGGGAAGGAGAGAGAGAGAAAAAAAGAGAGAGAGAGAGACTGTACCTGCCATGTCAGACATTCCTTTTCCATTCTCAACTTGTTGGCAAACTAAACTTCATTTAGCAAGATTCCCTTCAAAACTCTATGCCTTCTTTTTGGAAATGGGACAGAGGTTTACTGACCAAGCTTTCAGTACTTTTCAGGAGCACAGCATGCCGAATGGTGTGAAGAAATGGGCTGCAGAGACAACAGCAGGATGCTGGATCATTAGGAGGAATCTAAGGGGCTCTGCTTACCTTTGCTCTTTCCAAGACTGCTAGGAGTCTGCGGGAGGAAGTATTGTTCATACATGCTAGCATGAATGCAGACTGAGCAGTGGAGGTGGCTGAAGTCCCCGGCTTTACTTTACTTAACCTTTCTGACCATGTTCCTAATGAATTTGGATGGGCTCTCTGCCAATCCGGGCTTGCAGCTGCTTAGTTTCCCCTATGGAGATCCTAGAGTTAGGGAAGCAGCCTAAAATGCATCTCTTGGCTGCCAATCCACACCGGGACCTCTAAGCCACCCTTGGGGTTCTGTGCATAAAGAATGTATAAGACAACAACGGGGAGCCTCCATAGGGAAGGGGTGTATGTGATTCTTCAGAGAAGGGGGTGGGAAGGAGGGAGATGGTGGGCACTCCCTTTCTACCATTCATGAAAGCAAGTAACATGGTGAGAAACCAGAGTTGGATGCAATACTTCTTGTCTTTGCCCCCCAAAGTACATCTTCTAATCATCCCGGGCACGAGGCTGCCAAGGTGAACTGGGGCGGACGCAAACCGTGCCTCATCAAGGCGCGCTCCTTACTTAGAAGCATGAACACTGCTTTGGATAGGGCTCGACCAACATCCCCCCCCCCGACCCCCGCCCGCTTTGGTGTTGTGGTGTGTGCGGGCAGTGGAGCAGGAAACACCTGGGTGTGCCTGTTTTAGGGGGATAAGTGATTCTGTGAGCGAGGGTCTCTTCTGGTCGGGTGGATGGATGGATGCTGGGGAGTGACGTCACTCCGCCCCCTCCTCTGCGAGTGTGTGTGTGTGTGTGTGTGTGTGTGTGTGTGTGGTGGGGGGTTGTCCTAATAACCCAGCTCTCCTGCCCGTCCCTCCTTAGTCCAACCCTCGGTCTCTTTCAGTGGGTCAGTGGTCCAAATTCAGAGATTAGCTAGTGGGTGCCACGGGCCTGGCTCTCCCCGCGCTCGGACGCACCCACATTTCCACTCACACTCGGACAACGCGCACGCAGGCGCGCGCTCACACACACACACACACACACACACACACACACACACACTCCCCCTTAGCGCTGGGGCACGGCGATTCTGTGGGATCTCCAGCACAGGAGGAGGATTTTAGAAACCACCCAGACGAGGAAACAAAGAGAGAAGCCTTTCCAATGACTTTCTTGAGCTTTTTCATTTAATCTCCCCACCCAGCCACCTCGCCCCGCAACCTCCTCCAGCTCCAGGCTCACGCCGGGGCCCAGGGCTCCCCTGGGCTGGCCCTCCTACACCCCCTGGCCCAAGGCGCCCCCCGTTCCTTCGTGTCCATCTCCGGGCAGTCGCTTTACCCGCTGCACCCCATCTTCCCCTCTTCCCCCTGCGGGCCTCAGTTTCAGGTTACCTCGCGTGCGCTTGCTTGCTTCACTTTTGGGGGGGAAAAAGAGAAGAAAGGGAGGGAGGCGCTGAGGGGGGCAGCCGAGTTGCTATTTGTGGCCAAAGAATCTGCTTTAAAAGCAGCAGCAGCAGCAACAGCAGCAAGGAAGGAAGAAACAGGAGAGGCTGAAGGAAGAGGGGAGACGCGGCCCCGGACCCCCCAGTCGCGAGCGGCTGAGCACCGGGGAGCAGGAGGAGGAAGAGGAGGAGGAAGAGGGGGAGCCAGCCACACCGCGGCGGCGGCGGCAGCTGGGGGAGCGGGAGGCGGAGGAAGCGCCGCGAAGCCGCGGGCTCGGAAGGGCCAGGAGGACGGCCCGGGAAGAGGAGGAGGAGGAGACGGAGGAGGAGGAGGAGGAGAAGAAGACGGGGTAGGGGTGGAGGGAGGGCGGGGGGACGCGCTCCCTTGGATGCTGGATTTCGGGATTTTTGGACTCACTCGCTGACTCCTTCACTTCTTCCTTCTGGACCTGACTGGCCCTACGAGGGTTGGACGACGGCGATCAGATCACCACCGAGAGAGCCAGAGAGAGGGAGAGGGGGGTGGGTGGGGGGCTCCCGCGGCGACCGGCGCTCTCCGGCAGGATTAAATTGGCCGCCCCGGGGCGACGGCGCGGGCAGGCGCAGGCTGCGCGGCCGTGGCGGGGCGCGAAGGCGCTGGGGGGAAAAGTGCTGGTGGCGACGACTGCCCGGAGACAACATGATCAGGTAAGTCCCTCGGAACGGACCGAGTCTCCCCACCTCGGGGTCCGGGTTTCTCACTGCCCAGAGATCGCCCGTGCGCCCAGCCCGGGCTGCTGGCGCTTGCTCTGCTCCCGCGTCCCGGAGCCCCACGCTGGTGGGGGGTGGAAGGGGGTACGGGGGCGCACACTTTTGCTCTTCTGAACCTTCTTTGGACCAGGTCTTCGCAGGCGGGGTTCCTGTCTCGCCTGAAACCTCAGACCCCGGGGAGAGGCGATTCTAGAGCATTAAAGGGGTGTCTGGGTAGGTGTATTTGTAACGACCCCCGCCCGGATCTGTTCCTCCGAGGGTGGGTAGAGTAGAATTGCGGGGTGTAGGGAGGGGGACCCTTGGATCCGTGGGGGGGGGCTCGAGTGGCCGAGGCGGGGTGGGGGGGCGGGAATTGCGATCTAACTCAGGCTTTGGGCAACTGCAGAGTTATTTCTTGAAGGCTGAGATGACTGTTTTGAGGAGGGTTGGTTATGGGTGAGGGGGGCGATTTCTTTTTCTTTCCTCGGAACTAGTGGGGAGGAGTAGACATGGTAGGAATCAAAGTCTGCCATTGAGGAGGGGGATAGTTGGCGAGAGCTTTCCTTGGCAGAATCCAAGCTCCAAAGCTCACACGGTTCTGGTTCTGGTTGGGGGACGAATCTGATCTGCTTTCACACACTCATTCCATAGGGACGGTAGAGGAACGCAAGGCAGAATTAGTCATGAAGAGTTAAAAGTTGTAGGAAACAATTTGAAAAGAAAGCCAGGAGCAAATCAGAGATTGATTTCCTATAGATTTATTGCCGCTTCTACGTAGGTGTGATAGAAAACTTGCCTCCTTTCTCTGCGCCATGGATACTAGTTTAAAAAAAAACATTAATAAGTGAAGCCAGATTTTTTTTTTAAGATTAGAAGAAGCATTGAACATTAAGTGTGAGTTTGGCTTTCATTAATTGGGTGTTCAGAGATTCCAAAGAATAGTTTGGTTCTTCAAACCCCGGGCCTGTCACCATGTATTGTTTCCAGTTTTCTCTCAGTACAGACTTGCCAGATACCCTCTCTGTGTTCTAAGTCTCTTAGAGGGATCCCCCAGACTCATCCCACAGTCTGCCCTAGGATGACTGGAGGGAGGGAGGGGGGATTCTCCCCTGTATTACCTTTTAAAAGATAATGATAATAATAACAACAATAATAAACTTTAAAACACAGCACCAGAGACTTAACAAGTAGTTCACACATTTTGAGCCCCTTCAATAACTTAACTAGTAACTGCTTATGACTTGAGATAGATTTGCTGTTGAACTTACAGAGCTACAAAGATAGACTTTACCCTTTGGTGTATTCTCTCTGCTCACCCTGTAGCACTATGGGTACTTAGTTCAAACATAGATTCTTTGGACCATCTGGGCTATTCTTTCTCTGTTTCAAAGTACACACTTACCACGCAACTTGACTGAAACTAGGGCAATATACCAATAAAACATGCTCATTTAAAGGATCATTAGATAATGCCAGTGGAAAGATTATATTTTGTAGGTAATATGATGATATCCAGGAAAATGTTTAGTAGCTATCATACTTACTTTGTCATATGCCTCAGATAGAAAGAAACTCACAAAGAGAGAACACATTTTCAATGCTCTGTATATGAATTCTTGAAACAGATATCCTAAGTGGACAATAAAATTTTTCCTACCTCCCACCTCCGATAATTATATACTGTACTTTGTTTTTCAATGGAGCCAGCAATTCTGTGACAGATTTCTTAAATTCACCCTCACGCTATCAGCTATTATTGTACTTTCAAAGTGTGAAATTGACAAGCTGGTCACTTTCATGAATTCAGCTGTCAGATTGTGTCCAGTTAAAATTTGCTAAAAGCTGTAAATGTGCCTGCCTGGAATTTTCTTTTGTGAAGGAAAGACAGAAAAGGGATTGGAGCTTAGGGGATGTTATTAATTGTAAATCTTTTAAAATAGACACAACACCATGTGGGTTTATCACTAGCTGTTGTTGGGGAACACATTTAGATTTCTATCACTCTAAAAGTGGTGATTAATTCTTTATCTAATTGTAAAGAGTGAATACTTGGCATAAAACCCCCAGTAAAAATGATATAATAGGAATGCAGTTGAAATAAGAAAGCTGCCTGTTTCAAAGAAGGTTTAATATGATGAATATTATATTATTTTTATAATGATATGTAAAGAGGTAAAGGAACTGACCATTTTATAAGGAGGTTATATAATTTAAAAAAAATTCTTCTTGGGCCAGTGCGGTTAGACAGTTAAGAAAGTAATGGAATGAAGCAATGTATTTTCATAAATACACATTGCAGTAGATAATTGTAGATGTAAAGCTGCTTAAAATAGGAAATACAGTGTTTTAATGTGCTTTTTGATATTGACATTCAATGAGAACCAAAATATCTCAAAGTGGAGAACTAAGAATTAGAGTCCTCTCACCTGCTGCTATTTGCTAAGCCACTAGGGGCCTGTATAACTTCTTAAATCCAGAAGATACGCTGGAATGCCAAAAGCAAACCCTTCCTAGAGAGACATTTTTGAAAAATCCAGTAGGTAATCCCTCAAGTTTTCTTTTTGATTTTTTTAATACATTAAATCATATCTGATGTTTGTCACAGGCAGATTGAAAGATATTTCAAGGATATATTCAGGATTTCTCTGACAGTATGGTTTTCTAAGGGTGATTGTTTTTCTTCATTCAGAGTGTGTAATGTAAAAGAGTTATTTGTGCAAATTTATATATGATCCCAGTTTCTCAGAGTATGTCAGGGTAGACAGGAAGAAACACTAGTATCATTTCCTTATTGACCTGATAAGGATTCTATTTGCATAATGTAGGGTTAAAAGATGAATGAAGCAGAATTACTTTAGGGGAAGGGCAGTCATAGATGGATGGTGTGATTAAAAGAGCTTTCTGAGGACTGTGCAAGTTTGTATGGAAGGAGACTGTGAAGCTGTGACTACAGTTTAGTCAGCACTTCAGGGACCTGGACTTGAAGATGCACTATACATTTTTAAATGTCAGATTTACAAATTTGAAATGAACCAGCTGTTATAATCTTGATTGACATTAGGCAATAAGGTCAAGTACACTTACACTGATCTTTTGTTGATTTTTTCAGTTTTTCAAACTGACAAGGAGGACTATTTGTAAAAGAGAGCACTGCAAACATTTGCATATAGGATTTCTTTCAGACTATAGTTGATATATCAAGGCTTTGAGCAATTCTATACTTAGAGTCTGTAGATAAACAAGAGTTCATTAATAAGACTGTATATGAAATGCATCAGTTATAAAGAGATCGATTCTGCAAGGTGATTTTGTTTCTCCAAAAAGCACCTTGTTTTAGTTTCAGTGGGTTTGTGGGAATCTGTAATTGAAGCTTGTTTGAGCTGTAAGTTGTGATTCTATGATTTTAAAAGTTGATACTTTTAACATTTATGTATCTATATATAGATAAAACCTTTGGATCTAGTAAATTCTGATTCCCTAAAGTTTCTGGGAATGAACTTTACCTTTTCTGTAATGTACTCAAATTCATGGCCACAAAATATGCATTTAATATTTATATTATAAGCCTAGATAAATAAGGTGCTAATGATACAGACATAACTTGCCATTTTCTCAGAGTTTTCAAAGAATGCTTCCTCCCCCCCCCATTTTCATAAAAGGAAGGCAGTTTTGGATTGACAAGCTTACTGTAACTAAACTATGTCTTAATCCAGACCTACTGTGTGTATCTTATTGTACTATGGAGTTATTTACCTTTCATTTGTTTAATCTCTGTTCAGTTAAATTTCTTGAAAGAAAATCTTTAAAGAAAGACAGTGACTTGGTTGGTGATGTCACACAGGCAACGTTTAGCCCCAAGCAAAGTCAGTGTTTAAAAACATTCTGTTTTGTATTATCAGTTATTTGCCAAGAAAAAGCTAAGGGATAAACTGTTACCTGTGTGAACCACAGAACTGAGAATTCCTGTATAACACATTAGATACAGAAATCTGATAATGTAGAAGAAGATCCCTTGAAAGGGATTTTTCAGTACATATCCTTCCAACAAGCATCACTTGTTTAAATGTCTGTAATTTTATAGCACAGTGACATTTCTACCAAAGGATATGTTTGTTTGGAGATATTTTCTGTAAGGATAATCTCATTTGCTTCTAATCAGTAGTTTGATAACACATATTAAAATGTCATGCTTGGTTCACATTTATTTCAATAGTGAACATGGCCAAATTCATCCTTTTGTTTTAAAAAAGTAAAAACATTTTCTAGTTCTCCATACCTAAGCCCTTGAGAAAGATAACTGGAAGTATATATGACTTGTGCTTATCATCGTTCATTATATGAAATCATAGCCTCTAATATAAAAGTTCAGCCCTTATTTTGCATCATCAGTCTTGGGAAGGTCAAAGAGCAAATGCTCATATGTTATAGCAGACTGTGACCTAATGTAACTTAAAACAATAATCATGACAGTGATTAGTCACTGAAGCATTAATGATACAGCATCCTTACATGACACATGTCACAAAATCACCTCTCAGACCTTAGTCCTTTGTTTGCTCTTTAATAAATTACCTATGCAATCTGCCAATGCTTACCAGTTTTTAATCTTACCATTTTAATTATGAAATACCTTTAAGGCTTAAACATTAAAGTCATTTAAAAATTATATTTACATACATTGCCACACTTCTCAAAGCAACTCACAGGGGGAAAATGGACTTAAATAATGCCATCTCTCTTCTCAAATAATTCACTTAGTAGCTTCCTGTTCATTTATTTCTCTTTGATCTTGATATATTTAATAGGTGCTTATCGATACTAGTCAGTTGGTGTACCGCTTTTCAAAAATTAATGAAACAAAACAAAACAAAGTCTTTTCATGGCTTTTTAACCTCTCTGTCTCATAAATCAAACCCCTATATGGTGTAGACTATAAATTAATAAAAGAGGCAACCATC